TAGTTAAATTTATGTGATTTTTGCCACAAAAATAAATATGAAAAACAACACATAAGGTATGAGCCAGAATGACCAACACTGACACAACTGAACTTTAAAGAAAAAAGGTGACCAGACAAAAAGTGAAATTATATAGGGGAAGAAGTTGAGTACAGTGGCTCACACTTGTAATCTCAGCAATTTGGGAGGTGGAGGCAAGAGGATTGCCTGAGTCCAGGGGTTCCAGATCAGCCTGGGCAACTTGGCGAGACCTCATCTCTACAATAAATCAAAAAATTAGCTGAGTGTGGTGACGTGTGCCTGTGGTCCCAACTACTTGGAAAGCTGAGAAGGAAGGATATCCTGAGCCCAGCAGGTCGAGGCTACAGTGGCCACGAGCACGCCACTGCACTCCAGCCTGGGCAACAGAATGAGACTCCCACTCAGAAAAATAAAATTATATAGGGGAAGAAAATCAATGTCATCAGACTTTTTATCCCAGATGACAAGGCAGTAACATTTTTAAGAAACTCAAAGAAAGAAAAGCCCTGAACTTATCTTGAGGAGTCTACCAGAGAATAAGCTTCAGACAATCAACATGACTCTCCATGACACTGACACAGAGACAGATGGTGAACACTAATGAAGACAAAGATAAGAGAGAACTAAAATGAAGTGGTGGCTACAGGGGAAAATATAGTATGTAATGGTAATTTGCCACTAAAGTGAAAATACAGTACAACTCTCAAAAAACAAAGAAGGGGACAGAAGAGAAAAAGCAGAATAAGTTCATTGACAGACTTTAGAAAGGAGTCAAATGAGACCATTTCAAATTAAATGCAAAGGGAAAGGAAAGGTGAATAAAGAGGTGACTAGTTATGCTCACACTGTTCATAGTAGGAAATGAACAGACATTTATAATAATAATAAACACCTAGCAATAGATTAAACAAAGGTTAACCGTTAGAGAAAAATACAAACCTTCCTAAAGATAAAAAGTCTTAAAAAAGACTGCATAGTGAAAGACTACATAAATATGTATATATTTATATGCCTATAAATATAACATAAGACAATAGAGCCAACCGTAAGCAAAACATATTGCTCAAAGCAATAAATGTAAATGGGATTAATTTATAATATACTACCATGTATGTAAGGAAGAGTGGATATGAAGATAAATACATATCCATTAATATTTTTAAAATAAGCAATATAAGGATAAATCATAAATTTTTTTTGAGTCAGAGTCTCATTCTATCACCCAGGCTGGAGTACAGTGGCAAGCTCATGGCCACCACAGCCTCAACCTGTAAGGCTCAGGTGATCCTTCCACCTCAGCCTTCCAAGTATCTGGAACTACAGGTGTATGCCACCATGCCAAGCTAATTTTTTGATTTATTGTAGACATGAGTTCTCACCATGTTGCTCAGGCTGGTCTCGAGCTAGTGGGCTCAGGCAAACCTCTTGCCTCGGCCTCCCAAAGTGCTGGGATTAAAGGCGTGAGCCACCGTGTTTTAAATGGTTATCTATAGGAGAAGGGAAGGAGCATGGTGGAAGGGACTGAGATAGAAGCAAAATTTCTTTGAATGTGTATTGTTTCATATAGATACCACTAGAACCATGTAAACATTTTACATAATTATAAAATTAAAAACTTTTAAAGTAATCCCTAAAAAGTCTAAAGTAAAATGAAATATGAATCTAAGTACATGTCTAGTTAGTGGAAAACCACACAGAGAGAAACTATTCCAAATAACTTTAAAACATTACCATTTGACCACATATCTCTGATTGGATATACTCAACAGGGAAGAAAATTGCAAAAAATACATCTCAAACTGTTTACATTGGAGGTAGTATTTTCTTCTGAGAATGTGGCATTAGGCAAATGAGTAATTATGTGATATTTTAAATTTTATCATATCTGGCATATTGAGAATCATGGATTCTCACCTGGGAGAAAGGTAAAGAAAACCAAGGTTAAAACAACAACATGTAGTCCAGAATTTGAATGAGAAATACCCATAAAAACTCATGATGTATTATATCTTTACCAAAAATGTTTCCTAGCTCTGTCCACTGAAAAGGCCTAGAAATAAAGACCAACGAAATAGCAGTAATAGCCTCTAGCACCCAGACAGTAGTCTCCAAGTGTCATTTCCCACTAATAGGAACAAGGGTTCTTTGGAGGCTGCATTCCAAGTCTGCTGCAGAAAATGCCCAAGACAGAACTGGAACAGCTTGTTGTACCAGATAAGAAGGAAGCTCTCAAAGCCCACTATAGTCACGTCATAAGGACTCAAGAGCTGACTTGAAGAGGTTCCCACTGACCAAACAGAGAACATATTGAGCTTCAACAGGATAAAAATGGCAAGGATTAAAATACAGTAAATGTGCATAAGGCCGTGACTCCTTAATAATACTTTTAAAAATAAAAGGTCATCACTGAAGGATGCTAGTGAACCAATTCATTACTTTGAAAATTGGTAAGTAACGGGAAAGTATTAAGTATTTACCTAGCCTTTCCTACAGGAATTGTACCTCTGGGTGAATGACCAATTAACAGATGAGGATGGCTGGGTGCAGTGGCCCAAGTCTGTCCCAGCACTTTGGGAGGCCGAGGCGGGAGGATTGTCTGAGTCCAGGATTTCAAGAACAGCCTGGGCAACCTGGTGAGACCTCGTCTCTACAATAAATCAAAAAATTAGCCAGGCATGGTAGTGCACACCTGTAGTTCCGGCTACTTGGAAGGCTGAGGTGGAAGGACAGCCTGAGCCCAGAAGGTCAACACTGGAGTGGCTGTGAGCATGCCATTGCATTCCAGCCTGGGCAACGGAGCGAGACTCCAACTCAAAAAAAAAAAAAAATAGATGAGGGAAAGTTTCTCTTTACAGAAATATTCTAGCTGATAAAGAAGGAATGATAGAATATAACCCTTAATAAATTAATTAAAATCATGTGGGTTCACAGAAGCACTATTCACAATAAGCAAAAAGTAGAAATAATCCAAATATCCATCAACAGATGAATGAATAAACAAAATGTGATATGCAATGTGTCTAAAATGTGTCCACACAATGAAATATTATTCAGTCATAAAAAGGAGTGACGTTCTGATACATGCTATAACATGAATGAACCTCTAAAACATTATATTGACTGAAAGAGCCAAACACAAAAGGTCACATATTACTTGATTCCAAGTATATAAAATATCCTGATAGGTAAATCCACAGGGAGAGAAAATAGATTAGTGATAACTAGGGGCTGGGGGCAGGAGAGAATGGGGAGAAGCTGTTTAATTAGTACTTAGTTTTATTCCAAGGTGATAAAAATGCTTCAGAACTAACAGAGGTGGCGGTTGCACAACATTGTAAATGTACAAATACCACCGAACTGTTTGTTCACTTTAAAATGGTTAATTTTATGTTATATGAATTTTACCTCAATTTTGGAAATCAGTTGAGTGCAGTGACTCACATCTGTAATCCTAGTACTTGGGAAGGCTGAGGTGGAAGGAAGTCGAGGTTGCGGTGAGCCATGAGCGTGCCACTGCACTCCAGCCTGGCTGGTAGAGTAAGAACTTGACTCAAATAAATAAATAAATGATCATATGGAGAGAAAGAATTTGGCACAAGTCAGATGATGATATCATTTCAATTTTTTGCTTTAATTTTCAAGCATGTATTATAAGCAAGATACAGAACTTTACTAAACTTATCTTTTTTTTTTTCTTTTTTTTGAGTTGGAGTCTCACTGTCGCCCAGACTGGAGTGCAGTGGCCGCTCCCGGTGATCCTTCCGTCTCAGCCTTCCAAGTAGCTGGAACTACAGCCACGTGCTATCACACCCAGCTAATTTTTTTTTTATTTATTTATTGTAGAGATGAGGTCTCGCCAAGTTGCCCAGGCGGGTCTCGAACCCGCGGGCTCAGGCAATCCACTCACCTCAGTCTCCCAAAGGCATGGGATTACAGGCTGAGTCACCGAGCCCAGCTTACTAAACTTATCTTAAATGCCATCTGTGAGATAGATTTTCTTATGCCCATTTGTCAGTTGCAGCAACTAAGGATCAGAAGAGTTAAGTGATTTGCACAAAGTCCCACAGAAAAATAGCAGAAGCCAAGGAAGCAAAGTTTGAACCCAAGGTTTGGCAAATTTCAAATTCCTTGTCATAAACTACATATCTGACCATCTGAGACCATCTGAGAGAGGCAAATTATAAGGTTTAAGTGGGGGATGAAAATAAACATCTTTTTTTTTTTTTTTTTTTTTGAGTTGGGGTCTCACTCTGTCACCCAAGCTGGACTGCAGTGGCATGATCACAACAATCATGGCTTACAGCAGTCTTGACTTCCTGGGCTCAGGTGATTCTTCTACCTCAGCATGCCGAGTGACGGAGACTATAGGCACACGCCACCACACTTGGCTAATTTTTTAATTTTTTTTTTTTTTTGTAGAGACTAGGTTTCACTATGTTGCCCAGGCTGGTTTCAGCCCACCCGCCTCAGCCTCCCAAAGTGCTAGGATTATAGGTGTGAACCACTGTGCCTTGCGCAATACCTTTTATTTATTTGGGGGTAATTGTTTTTGTTTGTTTGTTTTGAGTTGGAGTCTCAGTCTGTCGCCCAGGCTGGAGTGCAGTGGCATGCTCATGGCCACTGCAGCCTCAACCTGCTGGGCTCAGGCAATCCTTCCACCTCAGCCTTCCAAGTAGCTGGAATCACAGGCATGTGTCACCACAACCAGCTAATTTTTTGACTTATTATAGAGATGAGGTCTTACCAAGTTGCCCAGGCTGGTCTCGAACCCATGGACTCAGGCAATTCTCTCACCTTGACCTCTCAAAGTGCTGGGATTATAGGCGTGAGCCACCGTGCCTGGCCTCCCTTCTTTCTGTGTGTGTGTGTTTGTTGTATATACATGAGTATAAATTCAATGTCTACTACTTCATATATATGAGGGGGACTCAAAAAAAGACCTGAAATTCATTTATAGAAAATTGTGTATGTATTCTTACATGTTCAAGCTTCAGTCACCGTCAAAGTACTCTCCGCTTGATACAATTATCAAGATGCTTTTTCCACTGTTCAAAACCGTTTCTGAACTCATCAATTTTGATTCCTTTTAGTGCTTCTGCCGTTTTTGGTTTCACCTCTTCCACACTGGCAAAATGTTTCTCTTTGAGGACTTTTTTCATCTGGGGAAACAAAAAAAAATGTCTCTCGGGATGAGGTTGGGTGAATAGTGAGGGTAGAGCACCAGGGTCATGCCATTTTTTATTAAAAACTGATGAACGCTCAGTGCAGCGTGGGCAGGTGCACTAGTAAATCATTCGTCATGAAATGGGCAAATGCGCTGAAAGAATCTCCAAAAAAATTTACCAAAGCCAAACGCAGCCTCTCACAACACTAGATGCCAATGGGTTCCTAGAACACTCACCTAGCAGGGGAAGCCTGTACTACAAAGGGCCCACACTCCAAAAAAATAATTCCAGACTTTCTTGGAAGAGTCCCCCTCGTATGTAGAAAAGGAGTCAAGTGTTTGGGGTCTTTTATGACATAAACAATATCTGACTCTTCCTTTTCCTGTACTAAACAGGAAAAAGAGGAACAATGCATTCGATGATAAAATGCTCCATCTGATAAAGCCCAGATCGTTTTCTTTCTGATAAAGGCAAACAAGATCTGTTTAGACCCTTTAGTCTTAAAAACACTTTTTCCACATCAACTTTAAGTATTTTGTTTTTACATGGCTAGTGGAAGAATCAATAAGTTCGATGTACAGCATCCCTGTTCTGAATAAAATAAGGAATAAAATGTAACAAAACACACACAGACAGCACTGCCCAACTTCATATTTTTATAAACTAAAGCAAAAGACCTCTGGACCTATGTAAAAATGTTAGAACATGCAGTGCTTTCCACACATATACAATTCCTGTGCAACTTTCCCAAGCACTATCAGAAAGAAAGAAATATAATAACATAAGGCAAATCTGATACTGACTGAATACTAAGAAGAGGAATTACATCTGGAGTCTCTCAAAGTTTCTAGGATCCTACATGTAGACCAACAGAGGCACACCTCTACTCTCAGTCAAGATGCTACGTGTAACCAACCACACATAATTGTTCCAACATCTCATCTAAAAATACTTTGTATAAATGTCCATCAACAAGGTACATATTTTAGTAAATCTATCAATAGAATGCTATGGGTCAGGCACAGTGGCTCACACACGTAATGCTAGTACTTTGGGAGGCCAATACAGGAGGATCGCTTGAGCCCAGTTCGAGAGCAGTCCGAGCAACACTGCAAGACTCCTGTCTCTATAAAAAAAATCCAAAAATGTCGGGCTCGGTGGCTCAGCCTGTAATCCCGCACCTTTGGGAGGCTAAGGTGAGTGGATTGCCTGAGCCCACGGGTTCGAGACCTGCCTGGGCAACTTGGCGAGACCTCATCTCTACAATAAATCAAAAAATAAGTCGGGCGTGGTAGCGCACGCCTGTAGTTCCAGCTATTTGGAAGGCTGAGGCGGAAGGATCGCCGGAGCCCAGCAGCTCAAGGCTGTGGTGGCTGGGAGCGGCCACTGCACTCCAGTCTGGGCGATAGAGTGAGACTCCAACTCAAAAAAAAAAAAAAATCCAAAAATTAGCCAGGTGTGGTGGTATGTGCCTGTAATCCCAGCTAATTGGGAGGCTGAGGCAGAAGGATCACCATAGCTCAGGAGGTCGAGGCTGTGGTGAGCCATGATTATGCCACTATACTCCAGACTGGATGAGAGAGGGAGACCCTGAATCAGGAAAAATAAAATAAAAAGCTATGTAGGGCCGGGATCGGTGGTTCAGCCTGTAATCCCACGCTTTGGGAGGCCGAGGTGAGTGAATTGCCTGAGCCTGCATGCGGGTTTGAGACCCACCTGGGCAACTTGGCGAGACTTCATCTCTACAATAAATTTTTTAAAAAAATTAACGGTGTGGTAGCGCGCACCTGTAGTTCCAGCTACTTGGAAGACTGAGGTGGAAGGATCGCCAGAGCCCAGTAGATCGAGGCTGCGGTGGCCAGAAGCGGCCGGCCACTGCACTCCAGTCTGGGCGACTGAGTAAGACTTCAACTCAAAAAAAAAAAAAAAGCTATGCAATAAAAAATGTCAATATAATTCTACATTTAATGACAAGAAAGGATGCCAAAGACATTTATTGAGCAAAATATACAAATTACAAAAGAGCAAGAATAGTATTACCCATTTATGTGTCTATGTACATATGCTAGGAGAAGCTCTTGAAAGAACAGTCACTGAAATGTTAACAGTGGCTTTCTCTGTGTGGAGGGATTTTATGGTGATTTTTTACTGTCATCTTTTTGTTTTGTTCTGTATTTTTGCTTTACTTTTCATTTTTACAATGGATACCCATTATTTTTATAATGAGGAAAAAACCTCTAAGTTTCCTTTAATTAAAAAAAAGCAATAGACCAGGCACAGTGGCTTACACCTATAATCCCAGCACTCTGGAAGGTCTGGGTGAGAGGATTGCCTGAGCCCACAGGTTCGGGACCAGTCAGGGAAACTTGGCAAGACCTCATCTCTACAACAAATTTAAAAATTAGCCGTGCATAGTAGCACGTGCCTATGGTTCCAGCTACTTGGAAGTCTGAGTGGAAGGATCACCAGAGCACAGCCAGGTCAAGGCTGCAGTGGCTGTGAGTGTGCCACTGCACTCCAGCCTGAGCAACAGAGTGAGATTTCAACTCAAAAAAAAACAGAAAAATTGTATTTTGGCCGGGCACAGTGGCTCACACCTATAATCCCAGCAATTTGGGAGGCTGAAGTGAGAGGATTGCATGAACCCACAGGTTCGAGACCAACCTGGACAACTTGGTGAGACCTCATCTCTACAATAAATCAAAAGATTAGCTGGTAGCGCGCACCTGTAGTTCCAGCTACCTGGAAGGCTGAGGTGGAAGGATTGCCTGAGCCCCGTAGGTCAAGGCTACGGTGGCTGTTAACATGCCTACTGTACTCCAACTAAAAAATAAAAATAAAAAAATTTTTAAATGAAAATAAAAAACAAGCAATGAAATATTTGAGATATTTGAAATATCTCAAATATTCAGCACACCTCTCCCCAGAATTAACACTACCTATAAAAACTATCTTTAGCAAACTTATGATTAAGAAATCATGTCTGGGCATGGTGGGTCATGTGTGCAATCCCAGCACTTTGGGAGTCCGAGGCAGGAGGACTGCTTGAGCCCAGGAGTTTGAGACCAGCCTGGGCAACAATCTACAAAAAAAGAAAAAAAAAAAATTTAGAGCTGTAGACTCCACACTAGCCACTAGAACTCTTCCTCCAGATCTGCACCGTCCAATAAAAATACAATGTGGGCCTGGTTCGGTGGCTCAGCCTGTAATCCCAGCACTTTGGGAGGCCGAGGCGAGTGGATTGCCTGAGTCCGCGGGTTTGAGACCAGCCTGGAAAACTTGGCGAGACCTCATCTCTACAATAAATCAAAAACCAGCCGGCGTGGTAGTGTGCACCTGTAGTTTTGGCTACTTGGAAGCCTGAGGTGAAGGATCGCCAGAGCCAAGCAGGTAGGTCTACGCTGGGGGGTTCGTGAGCATGCCACTGCACTGCAGCCTGGGCAACAGAGACTCCAACTCAAGAAAAAAAAAACCAAAAAACTACAATGTGTGCCACAAATACAAGCCACATACATAGTTTAAAATTTTTTTAGCTGGGCTCAGTGGCTCAGCCTATAATCCCGCGCCTTTGGGAGGCTGAGGTGAGTGGATTGCCTGAGCCTGCGGATTCGAGACTCGCCTAGGCAACTTGACAAGACCTCATCTCTACAATAGATCAAAAAATCAGCCGGGCGTGCTAGCGCATGCCTGTAATTCCGGCTACTTGGAAGGCTGAGGCAGAAGGATCACCGGAGCCCAGCAGGTCAAGGCTGCAGTGGCCGGGAGCGGCCACTGCACTCCAGTCTAGGCAACAAAGTGAGCCTCCAACTCAAGGAAGAAAAAAAATTTTTTTTGACTGGGCACGGTGGCTCACGCCTGTTCCCAGAACTTTGGGAGGAGGAGGCAAGAGGATTGCTTGAGTTCAGAGGTTCAAGACCAGCCTGGGCAACTTGGCAAAACCTTGTCTCTACAATAAATAAAAAAATTAGATGGGCATGGTAGTGCGAGCCTGTGGTTCCAGCTATTTGGAGGCTGAAGTGGAAGGATTACCTAAGCCCAGCAGGTTGAGGCTGCAATGACCGTGAGCATGCCACTGCACTCCAGCCTAGGTGACAGAGTGAGACTCCTACTCAACATAAATAAATAAAATGTTTTAATCGCTACATATTTTTGTTTTGTTTGTTTTGTTGTTTTTTCTCAGCCTCCCAAAGGCACGGGATTACAGGCTGAGCCACCGAGCCCGGCTATTCGCTACATATTTTTGAGTTGGAGTCTCACTCTGTCACCCAGGCTGGAGGGCAGTGGCATGCTCATGGCCACTACAGCCTCGACCTGCTGGGCTCCGGCGATCCTTCTGCCTCAGCCTTCCAAGTAGCTGGAACTACAGGCGCACGCTACCACGCCCGGCTAATTTTTTTGATTTATTGTAGAGATGAGGTCTCGCCTGCCCAGGCGGGTCTCGAACCCGCGGGCTCAGGCAATCCACTCACTTCAGCCTCCCAAAGGCGCGGGATTACAGGCTGAGCCACCGAGTCCGGCGTAAAATTTATCTTAATATATTTACCCCAATATATTCAAAATGTTATCACTTCAACCTACAATCAATATAAAAATTACTGAATTAGTTATATTTTTTTTGCACTGAGTCTTCAAAATTTGGTGTGTATTTTTCACTGCTTACAAGTTCATCTCAGTTTGGCCCAGGCATATTTCACATGCTCAATAGCCACATGTGGCCAATGGCTAGCATACTGGACAGAGTAGCTCCAAGATGCTATTCCCCAACATCAGACTTTACCTCAGTCACTGTCAAAACTTTCTGGCTCTACACGCACTCAGGGCAATGCCAAAGGAACTTGTATCATACTGAGGGAACATCTGAATCAAGAGTCCAAAATCAATAAATCACTTGAACAAAGAAAACTGAGGTATGTGTTCCTCATCA